AGCACTTCTTCAAATGTATTCAGTTTTCTTTAGTGTGAACCCAGAAGCCAATCAAATTTAAAGAACATTTGCATCTCTGGGGCCCTTGGTGCTGTCTGAATTTGGATGTTTTATTTCTTTTCTAGGTAACGTTTAATAATATTACTTTGTTTAGATAAAGAAAAGTCTGCAAGAAAACAACCAAACTCAGAAAGCACCAAGGGCTTCCTACCAGATTTTCTGTCACGTTGGCTCATTTTTCCTCCCAATTAACCATGCATTGCACCAATTCTTGTTAACCTCTCTTATCCAGCTGCTCCTTAACTTACTTTTCCATGTTCTTTTAAAACTGAGCCAAACTTGGAACAAAAACCATGAAACGAATAGACCAGGTTGGCATGAAATGCAGCTTGAGATAATTGTTGGCCAACCTTTGGCTCTGCCATAAGGTTGCACATCAGTCTGGAAAAGGATCCTGAATTCTTAGCCTTTAAAGGAGTTTGATATAATCTATGAAGAATTAAAAAAAAGGAAACACAATAGCACCGCAGCAGACATGTAGAAAGGTTGTTGTTTATTCGTTGTCATCCCATCAGCCGGGGAGAAGAATGTCTGATATGTGTCAACATAGATCAAGGGTTGATGGCAGAAGTCAGAGATGGGCCAGGACAGATCCTGTTTGAGGGCAGCTGATACGTCTTCATGGCTTTCTGATTGTGGAAACAAAGAGACCCTGGAGGCACTAAGGCAGTTGGGAGGGGGAAATCCAATGTCAGATGCCGGTCAGAGTTTGACTTTGGAGGGTGAAATCCAATTAACCTTCTTGAAACTGATGTAATATGTACTGTGAGTGATGCCCTAAAGAGCCGGTAGGGAACATTATGAATGAAGGGAAAAGAGAATAGACCATGTGGCATGGATGAAAATGAAAATGACATGTACAAATTGGAACAAAGAGAACATACATGGAGAAAGATGGAGAAAGGTTATGAGAAATAAATGCCTGAAAAAGAAGGAAAATATCTAGGTATTTTTAGGAAGAATTTCTTAGGCTTGTCTCGGGGGAGATTCTGAAAGACCAAGCTAAGCTCCACAGTGGAAAATGGATTGAGTGAAATAAATTCTTGAATAATGACAAGTGGGATGAAGGACATCTATTCCTTTGCTGTTATATAGTGCCTAATTTGGGACGACTCTCAGCTGCTGTTGCCTTCTTGGTTTGGTTAACGGGAATTGCAATTTCTCATAACTCATAGATGTCACGCTCAGGGAGACAAGCTAAGAGTGCAGGGTGTGGTCCGAGTATTTCAAGCCAGCTATTAATCTTCATATAAATAACATTTCTGGACTGCTGAAATAACTGATTTTGCTTTTCTTTCTTCTGATTGAACCTGATCCCTCTAATCTCTATTTACCTTCTTATGCTTTCACGGAGGTTCCTTCTCAGACACCGCATACAAAACCATACAGTCCTTGGTGCTCTCTAAACTTGATTGTTTCTTGTAGACATTTCATTACTCAACTAGGTAAAATCCATCAGTGCTTGGTTGGGTAGTAGTAGTTGGGTAATGAAATGTCTACAAGAAAACGGCCAAGTTCAGAGAGCAACGAGGGCCCCACAGTTCAATCCTGGGTACAAATATTCTCGTTTATTCTCTGCTTGAGAAAATGTGCCTTTGGTTTGTTTGTTTAAATCACAGAATGATGATGTAATTGACTGGAAAGGGCTTTGCATTTTGCCAATTCTGTACTTAAGCAAAGGCAAAACTGAAAAAGATCAAATATGGAATCTAATCCATGAAGAGCTGCCCCCCCATCAATGTCTTATTCTTTAAAAATAACAGAAGCCCCAAAGTCACTCAGGGATATGCACAGGGTAGGTCAAAATCTGTAACATGGTGGACAAGAGGTTGTGATTGACCGTCCACCGCTTTTGAACATGGGGACAGGGCCTGGATCAACTTGATTGCAGATTTTGGCCCACATTCTATGGACCTATCAGAGCGAGCATTTTCACAGGAGATTAAATTGTGAATATCAAATGTTCTTACAATCTTCCCCAAGGTGGAGTGGTATCTATAATCTTCTCTCTCTCATCTTGCTCTCTCATTCATTATCAATCATCTATGTATCTCTCTCTCTCTCTCGTCTCATTTGTCTGCCTATCATCTATCTATCTAATCCTCTCATCTATCTATCTATCTATCTATCTATCTATCTATCTATCTATCTATCTATCTATCTATATCTATCTATCTATCCATCCATCCATCCATCCATCCATTTATCTATCTT